ATATATGCATCTATCATTATATAAAAAAGAATAACCTTTTATGATTTCCCGCCAAAATTTACCGCCAAAATCATTTAATGGATAAATGCGGCGGCGCTGGTTTTTCTGATGGTTCCCTTTTTTCTATTTTATAGGTTAACAAAATAACAGATTGTGTTGATATTATATAAAAATCTATCATTAAAAAATCATATTAAAAATAATTTATAGCTTATAAAATCTCATAGCATAAATCTACACGAGTTTATCTCTTATTTATTACAAAATCTCATTATATACGCACGAGTTTAAAAAAATCTCATTACTTATCTATCAGATTTAAAAAAATATAAAATAAAATAGAAACTAATTCTTTAAAAAGAAAAAAATAAAATAAAATAGAAATCAATTCATAATTACTATTAGAAATCCATTATCTACTCTAAAAAGCTAATTTTCATCGTTCTAATTACTAATATTTTTAAAAATATTATAAGCTAACAATATATCCTCGATAACAACGAAAAAAGTATAATTATAATTTTGAAATTTTGTGTAATCAAATTTTTTTTAGATAGAAATAGCGCCATAAATTCGGTATTATCTGACCTAATGTGTTTATTAAGTTAGGCATAATATTTTAGATACTTTAAACAAATTGTTTAGACATTTTTTTTACATATTTTTCTATATATACATATATATATATACACACATATACACATATACATAATTGATATTAAATTTAAATATTTGTACACATGTTTTCTTTACAAAATAATCTAAAAAAAACTTTTTACACAATGTTAAATTCAAATATTTTTAGATATGTTTTCCTTCTAAAATTGTTTACAAAAGTTGTAAGTGACTTCATATCTTTAAAAAAATAATATAGAAAATTCACATATACTAATATAATATTTTAGGTGTTTTTAATATTAAACATACAAATTTTATATTCTCTTATACAAAATAATGTAAAATTTATATTCTCTTATACAAAATAATTTTACATTGTTTGATCCTAAATCTTTAATTTATAATTATTAAATATTGTTTATCATCCTCTTTAATTTATAATTATTTTTTTCTTCCTCTTTGTAAATAAGATCAATAGTAGTTCCCACTTCCGCCATTGAGTGACTCAAACTCGAGGTCTCTTTATAATATTGTTAATTTAATATTGCTCCTGTGCAGAGGACGTGGGCCCCGCCAGCGTGTCCAGGTGGCGAGTAACCAGCTCACGCTGCTGCATGCATTGCCCACTGCCCACACACGCTACAAACAGCGTTACAATTTTTCCGCCAACTGCTTTTTCCGAATACATTACAATTACCACTCCCTAAGCTACCTCTGTACTGTGTGAGTGACAGAGAGAGAGAGAGGGATACATGCACAACAGCTACGCTACGCAAAGAAGATGATTGACGGAGTATATATAAGTATATATTTAGAGAGAGAGAGAGAGAGAGAGGAGATAAATTAAAGGAAAATAAAAGAAAACGTAAGTAAGATAAAATTCAAACGCCATTGATTTGAGGTAACAAACACACACACACACACACATTAACTCCATCACAGAGGTTTTTCAACACGTGGAGGACCTCTCTGTCTCTCTCACCATTATTATTATTATTATTATTATTATTATTATTATTATTATTATTATTATTATTATTATTATTTATAGTATTATATTAAAATTTTCTTTTCATAAAATTAAAAATAAAAATAAAATATTTTCTCCTCTTTTTTTTTTTTCTCGTTGGCTCACTCTCCTCAGTGCATGTGGTTTTATATATGTTGTGGGTTGAGTTTAAAGTCCGGCCCACATGCTTACACACAAATTAAGTTAGAACCAATGCCGATTACTTTAACTCTCGGTACATGTGTGTTAACTCAACTCTGGTAACCTTTCCTTATTTTATTTTATTTGTTTATTTCAAAATACAATAATTAATAGACAATATTACAAACAAAAGAAGTTACGTAGGAAGAGGTTGTGAATTGGGAACAAAAGACCAAAAGAAATGAACCACCGTTTGAGCAAGCTGCAATGAATGATGAATTAGCAGCTAATTAA